AGCTAGGCGACGAGCCCGGAGGACTTGGTTGGGTAAAGGCGCGGTTGAAAGGATCGGAGGCGGCGCGGGCTCGCCTTGGGGTCGCGTCGGAAACAGACCGAGCCTGGTCTTCCAAGAGTTCGGGTGTACGCGATTGCAGTACAACCCGGTAAGGAATAAAATTCCTTACACTACCCCCCCTCTTAAGGAAGGTGATCAACATCGGGAATGCCTTTTCGGGTCAAATAAGATTTGAGCACCGAGTGTTCCTGAAGCGAGTCGGAAGTGACCCACGTGTCGTCTTCACTTGTATGATCGACCCAGCGAACAAGGAAATCTACGTGTCGTCCTGTTGTGTCGAGGCAGACGCGATGACTCAAAAGCCGGAAAGGCTCAAGGGTCGGTTCTGCCATCGGCCGGACAATTGGGGCAGCCCCGGGCGTGCGACAGCGGACGTGCTGGCAACGTAGGGGCAAAGCAGGCTGACAATGCGTCGTGAATTCGCCACTCGTCGGGAAGTAACAATTTTGCCGTGACAGGTGTCACCATCTTGACAATACGGAAAGGCCCACAGAATCTTGGTCGGAGTTTTGAAGGCAGGGGCAAGCGAAGGTTCTTCGTGTCGAGAAGGACTAGTTGCCCAGCGGCCATCCTGATATCCCGGCGATGAAGGTCGGTATAGCGTCGAGCGATTATGTTGGACTTGCGAATGAATTCGATCGCTTTTTCCCTTGCAGCTTGTAAACTTGTCACGAACTGTTGGGACCGGGGCACGGGGTTGTCGATGTGGGTTGTCGTCGGTACCGTTGGATCCATCCCGTAGTTGAGGAAGAACGGCGAGTGATTAGTCGTAGCGGATGGGGCGTTGTTGTAGGAAAATTCCAGCATGGGCAGGGATTCCTCCCATCGGGAAGGATCGGGGCAGTTGGTGCGTATCAGCTGCTCCATGGTTTGATTGGTTCGCTCCGTTTGACCGTCGGTTTGAGGATGGTAGGCGGATGAAAATTGGAGTCGGGTGCCGTACTGTGCCCGTGTCTCTTGCCAGAACTTGGACGTGAACTTTGGGTCGCGGTCGCTGATGATCGCTGATGGCAGGCCATGCAGTCGAACAACAGTGGAGATGAAAAGTTGTGCTGTATCTTCAGCTGTGATTGTTGTGCGACTTGTGCGAAGTGCGCCATCTTCGTCAGTCGATCGACGACGACGAGGACGGTGTCGTTGCCGTTCGGACTGGCTGGAAGCCCTGTGACGAAGTCCATCGTCACGTGTTGCCACGGTCGCAGGGGTGGCTCGGACGGTTGCAGTAGTCCAGCTGGCCTCTGTCGAGAAGATTTCATGCATTGGCAGGTCGGGCACGCTGCAACGTATCTCTGCACGTCAGACGCCGAATCAGGCCAATAGTAAAAACGGTGAAGTAACTTCTGGGTTTTATCAACCCCGAAATGACCGGAGAGGTTAGAATCGTGGACTTCTTGAATAAGTAACTCGCGGAGGAGTCTGTAGGCGGGAACCTAGATACGGTCAGTACCGGCTTTTAGGAAGTAGGGTCCTTTGGCCGTGGTGGCTTGCTGGTGGAGGTTGCGGGTGAAAAAGGGGTCTGTGGTGTAGCTGTGGGTAAATAGGCCGGTGAGTAGCGGGGTGGATTTCGCGACGATGATGGAGGCGAGGTGGGCGGACGGTCTTGTTAGGGCGTCGGCGATGTTATTCGCCCCACGTTTGTACGTGATGATGTAGTGGAAGTTGCTTTCAAGGAAGTCCTGCCAACAAATCTGCCGTGGATTGAGGTTCGGCTGCGCGCGGAGGTACTGTAGGGATTTGTGGTCTGTCCGTACTGTCACGTCGGCTCCTGTCAGATAGCAGCGCCATACTTTGAATGCGTGCACGATGGCGAGCATTTCTTTGTCGTGGACGGGGTAGTTGCGCTCTGCTGCCTACAAATTCCGGGACTCGTACGCGATTGGTTGGAGTCCTTCGCCGAAATCTTGTAATTGTATCGCACCAATGGCGAAATCGCTGGCGTCCGTCAAGACTTCGAACGGTCAAGATGGGTCGGCAATTCGGAGAACCGGGGGCGACGTCAGACAATTTCGGAGTTCGTCAAAAGCAGTATGCTGTCTCTCCCCCCACTCAAACGAGGTGCCCTTCCGCAGCAGGTCGGTTAACGGTCCGGTTATCCCTGCCCTTTTGGGGATAAACCGCCGGGCGTAGTTAACGAACCCAAGAAAACTTTGCAGCTCCTGTAAATTCGTCGGCGGCTTCCAGTCGCGAATCGTGAGGATTTTCTTCGGGTCGATTTTGATGTCGTCTGCTCCCACAACGTGTCCCAAAAATTCCAGTTTGGATTTTAGGAACTCGCACTTGGAGCCCTTCGTGATGAGCCGGTTGCCTTGCAGCCGCTGAAAAACTTGCTCGAGGTCCTTGAGGTGCTGTTCCCGTGTCATGCTGTAGATCAAGATGTCATCGAGATAGACGATGACACACTTGTCGAGCAGAACTCGGAATACGCCGTTCATGGTGAGTTGGAAAGTGGAGGGCGCGTTCGTGAGGCCAAAGGGCATCATTGTGTACTCGTAGCGGCCATAGCGGGTGCGGAACGCCATCTTGTGGCAGTCGTCAGCGAAGACTAGGATCTGATGGTAACCGCCGTGTAGGTCAATTTTCGAGAAGAAGCGAGAGTCGCGAAGTTGATCGAGAAGGTCGTCCGCGCGTGGGATTGGGTAGCGAGACTTGATAGCTCGCCGATTCAGCGCCCGGTAATGGATGCGCATTCGCAGTCCTCCGTCTTTTTTGGGTGTGAACAAGATTGGAGCTGCAAACGGGGACGTGCTGGGGCGGATGAACCCTTTCTCCAAGAGGTAGTCCAGCTGGCTCCGTAACTCCGTGAGCTCGGGCTGAGTCAGCCGCCACTGGGTTCTGACGGTTGGCTGCGCGCCGGGTTCCAGGTCAATTTTGTGGTCTTGGGGGCGCTCGGGTGGCAACCCTGGTGGCAGGTCATCCGGAAAAATATACAGTGGCGGAAACAATTGTCCACATGTTTAGCATGTGGACACATTTTGACGAGCTTTACGCTATAAACATTAAGCCTTAATTCATGGTGGCCATACACGTAGAGAGCAGCAGTTGGAGCACTCACTCAAATCTCCTAAAACCAGAGTAGTATATTTCATGGTCCTTCAAGACGATAACATTTAATAACAGCACATCCGGACAATTTGTACCGGGGACAGGCAGCAAACTAGTTACTAGCAAAACTAGTACCTAGTCAACCGACACTTGGCCTTGATCACCACCTACACCCTCCTAGGCATGTTATCTACGAGGTTAGTGCAAACCTTTACAGGGATCTTCTCACACTCTTCCTGGACCCACGCTTTTGCATAAGGGGGTGAGCACTAGGAAAATCGCGAAGTATTTGAACGTATGCAAGAGTACTGTGCACGATTTCATGTTGAATGTTATCTCTAAGACTAGCCATGCTAAGGTGTGGCCAAAGATGCCATTAGTCGATTGGTCTCGTCTTATCATGGATCATCTTCATCGCACCGTTGTAGGTAAAAGTTACGAGCAGAGTGGCAGAAAATTGCGTATCTGCCACGAAACTTAGGGTAACATAGCACGGGTGATAGTGCATCCTTGCACTATTAGAATCATACTAGGATCCGTATGTCTCTGAGCGGTACAGCAGTCGAAGTAGTCGTGACTGGTGGGGAAAAATATCCGGATTGAGATCTGGTGAGGAAAAGGGTCACTCCAGCGTAACATACGCGTGTTCTCTAAGCCATTCTAAGCCATGTGTCCCGCCTAGGCTTGGAATGGCTTGGAGAGCATGAGTTTATAGCATGAGTTTGTCCCGCCTTTCCGCTTCGCTGAGGTCGTCCACTTGGTCCGCAAGTGCCGAGAACGACGTAGTGTAATCTTGAACAGTAGTCACCTGCCGCCAGGTGCGCAGCTTCATGCGAGCGTCGTCTGAGGCGGATGAGTGCTCAAAACGAGCTCGTAGAGCTGTGCCCTACTGTTTCCACGTGCGAATCGTGGTCATCCCGAATATCGTTTCTGCTTGTTGGTTTGAAGATTCCGAAGACCCGTCCTTCGCCTGCTTCACTCCTGCCGGAGTCCCGATCGCCAACTGTCGTCGTCACCAATCCAACGCCGGTCCTCGGAGCAGCGACACGGCATAATTAATACGCGCATCGTCTGTATGCACACTTGCCGCCGTGAAGAACAACTCCATGCTGAACAGCCACCCTTGCACCGTCGTCGCCTTGTTCGAGGGGTTGAACGGGGACGGTGTGGCTGGCTTGAGTTTAATCTTCGTCACGGTCACCGTGCGCACGTCGTCCTGCTCCAACTCCCGTGCGAGCTCGTCAAGGACTGTCTCGCTCGCTGCGTCGTCGGCTTCTAACTTGACATTGTCCTCTGCGACTCCAGGCGACTCCTGACGCGCTTCACCACGCGTCTGGCGAAGCTCGGTGTTCTCTGTCCGAAGTCTCACAACTTCACAGTTCAAACTCGCCATCTGGGCTTGCAAACGCTATCATAGTTGTGTGAGCTAATAACTCTAGCTCACGGACAACCGCTTTGCAGCCCCGAAGGGTTAACCACGCCTTGGAAATAAACTACCCTGAGAAAGTGGGGTGAACCAGGAAAGTGGCTCTGATACTAGATGTTATGAATAATAACTCATAGTGCGCGGAATCATAATGACGAGTACAAGGATGCTAGCCTAGCATTATATATTGAGGACTCTAGCTAGGCGACGAGCCCGGAGGACTTGGTTGGGTAAAGGCGCGGTCGAAAGGATCGGAGGCGGTGCGGGCTCGCCTCGGGGTCGCGTCGGAAACGGACCGAGCCTGGTCTTCCGAGAGTTCTGGTGTGCGCGATTGTAGTACAACCCGGTAAGGAATAAAATTCCTTACAGGGTACACGCACGAACCCGAAATCTGTTACTGTACTGCATTCCGCAAAATCGAAGCCCCAGATCTGTACTAATGTACATCCCACTATGTCAGGCACCATCCTTTGACTAACGACAGCTGTTGTAGATTTACGACTGACGTCCCGTGAATCCGCGTTCCCCCTTAGACTTCCCAGGCAGTCGTCGGCACTGAGTGAAGTCGCCGCGTTTGTCCGCCGAGTATTCCTACGACCGGCGTTTTCCTCCAGTCAAAGCGTCATACTTCCCCCGCGACCATGTCTCAGGTCCGCGCGTCTCACATTCTCATCAAGCACCAGGGCTCTCGCCGTCCCGCATCCTGGAAAGACCCTAACGGAGAGACAATAGGGCGGACGACGAAGGACGCGGCGATTCAGCAGCTGCTGGCGATCAGAGAGCGCATCGCCAGCGGCGAGCTGGATTTCGGCCAGGTCGCCAAGACCGAGTCGCACTGCAGTTCCGCCCGAAACAACGGCGATCTGGGTGCGTTATCGAATAGCGTTTTACTAAGAGAGTCCGTTGGAGGGCGAGGATACGAAATCAGGTTACGAAGTAGGCATCAGGAGCATCAGGAGCATCAGGAGCATGCAAATGCTGCCATTTTCCCACCCGCATTTTCCGCAGTCATTTTCTTATCAATTCTTGCATTCAATGTCAGCGCTGGGCATATCCTTGTGGTCGCGATCACAAACTAGGTCAGTCGCCGGCTATGGCAGATGCGTACGGATGGCCTCTAGCGAATGCTGGTTATGACCGATGGGGCTGAATCCACATTGTGCCAATTCTAATATCTCCCAGAAATCTAAGCTCCCAAAAACTGTTCTCTTGTCGCCAGTCTGCTGTTCGATTTCTGCTCATTTCGTCCCGTCCTCCCGCCGTCCTCCCGCCGTCCTCCCGTCGTCTTCCCGCCGTCATCCCGCGTACCCCTTCTTCCAGGCTGGTTCAGCCGCGGTCAGATGCAGAGACCGTTTGAGGAGGCGACGTTCGGGATCAATGTGGGCGAGATGAGCGGCATTGTGGACACCGACAGCGGCGTGCACATCATCCTGCGCACCGGATAAATCAACAGCACTGGATGTACGAACAGCAGCATTTTGCTGACAAGAAATGTGGCCTCCTTTGGGACAAGCCTGGTTGGAGCAGAAGGGAACAGTGGAGAAGGGATTTTGCCGATCCGAGTTGTGCTCCTCTGTCGCTGCAGGGTGGTCTCAACTCAATCTCAACTCGAGGTTTTTCCTTTTCTGTTCAGTCGAATTCCAGTGGAAGATTTACTGCTGGCTGTTATCTAGCTCGTGTTGCATGGCATGCATGCTCCTAAATTTCTAGGTTGTGCAGGAGAGGAGAAAGGTCAAGAAAGATGGATGGCTGCTTTCAGTGGAATCCTTGTGCCATGATGATTCATAGGCGAAAAAGTAGCTGCACTCACTGATTCTAGCACGCACGCACACACGCACACACAATCGGCACACACTGAACACCTGTATCCCTCACTAACTGCAATGCAGAGCACACACAATCGGCAGATGGCTGCACCTGACTCCTAAGCCTGCGTGAACCGTCTGCCAGTCGCTCCGCAAAATGCCAGACGTCCACGCATTGCCACACATTGCCCTGGTCCTTCAATCCTTCACGAGGAGTCTATTTTTGAGGCGCCTCAATAAGAGACTCCTCACACATTGCCACACAGTGCCCTGGTCCTTCAATCCTTCAGCCTTCTTTTCAGCCTTTGCAACATCTCTCCCTCACATCCACCCCATCTGCTCCTCAAGGGGATGCAAGCACAATCTCCTCAACCCTTCAACCTCTGCCTTGAATCCAATCCTATGTTCCGCCACCTCCATCCTCCATCCTCCATCTTCTGTTGCCAAGAACATCTTCCCTCGCCTCATTCATAGGTTGGCGTGTTGGAGGTTGCAGCAGCTGCAGAGGCTGGGGAGGCCCCTAGCTGTGGTCCTGGCCGGCTATTTGTCCTCCCCTTGTGGCCACTGGTGTGTGCATGGGTATGGGAGTGGCTGTGGCTGTGGGAATGGCTGCTGCCGTGGGGAGGATGATGATGATGATGATGATGATGGTGAGACTTGGCCCCACTACCACCCACAGCACCAGCAGCACCAGCACCAGCAGTACCAGCAGCAGCAGCAGCAGCAGCAGCAGCAGCAGAAGCAGCAGCAACAGCAGCGGCAACAGCAGCAGGGGGTCTGACCTCTAAAGGACCAGGAAAGCCACCGTTGCCCCGGCTTCCATACTCTACCCGCCTTCCATCCACACTCCCCTTCTCCCTCTCACGCGTCTCATGCCCCTCCCGTCGCTCCCTTCTAGAACCGCCACTACGCAGCCTCCTCTCCCCTCCTCCCCCCATGCCCTCTTTTACCTCAACTCCCTCCCGCCTCTCTTTCCTTGACCCTGCTGGGCGCAGTCTCCTCTCCCCCCGTTCCCCCATGTCCTCTTTACCCTCACCGCCCTCCCGCCTTTCCTTCCTAGAACCAGCACTCCGCAGTTTCCGCTCCCCTCGCTCCTCCATGCTCTCTTTGCCATCGTGCCCTGTGTGCTCATGCCCATCCCGCCTTTCTGTTCGAGACCCTTCTGTACGCAGCCTCCTCTCCCCCCTTCCCTCCACCCCCTCTCTGCCCTCACGCCCCTCCCTCCTCTCTGTCCGCGACCCTGTGCTGCTCAGCTTCCTCTCTCCTCTCCCTCCACTCTCCCTGCCCCCGCCCTTCTCACTCCTCTCTCTCACCTTCGAATCCACCTGCTTTTCCTGCGCTCCCTTCCCCTCCTGGCTTTCCCTTGGCTCTCCTGCTTCCGCTTCTGGCAACTCCCAGACCTTGCTACCACCCTCAATCTCGTTCCTCTGGCTGTTCCTTGTTCTTTCCAAGTCACTGCTCCTGCTCCTACTGCTGCTTCTGCTCCTGCTTCCGCCTCTGCTCCTGCTGCTGTCTCCACTTCTCCCCCTGCTACTGCTCCTGCTCCTGCTCCTACTTCCGCCCCTGCTTCTCCTTCCCCTCCTGCTTCTACTGCTGCTTCTGCTCCTGCTTCTGCTCCTGCTGTCCATCCCACTACTTCTATACCCATCGTCGCTTCCACTGCTCGGGCTCAGGCTCCTGCTCCTGCTTCTGCTTCTGCTCCCACTCCTGCCTCGGCTGAGGCTAGTGCTGCGGCTGCGGCTTCGACTACCGCTCTGGCTGCGGCTGACACTGCGCTCGGACGGACTGCCGCTAGAGTCTCTTCGGCGTCTTGGCCTGCCCCGCGCGCGGTTCGAGAGTTTCTCCGCTGGCGAAGGGCTGCGGGAGCTGCTTGGAGAGCTGCTTCGGGATTCGCTTCGGGATCTGCTATGGGCGCTGTTGTTCCCAGACTCGCTTTGGGATCGGCTTCTGCTTCGGGAGCGACTGGTGTAGGACCTGCTTCCAGACCTGCTTCTGGTTCTGCTTCGGGATCTGCTTCGGGATCTGCTCCGGGACCTGCTCTGACTCCTGTTCTTGCCACTCACCCTATGATAACTCCGACGGCTCTTCCTCCCCCCCCTCCTCTTAGGCCGCTGCACATCCCTCCCCTCCACCTCACTCACCTCACTCGTACTCGCAGTAAGGCTGTCTCTGTCACTCCCCACCGCACCTCGCTCCAAGCGTCTCCTTCTCTCCTCCTCTTTCCGCGCTCTCCTACCCTTGCCCTTCCTCCCCTCTCTATCTCTCTCCCTGGAGCTACCTTTTCGCCATGACCTACTGCTGCTGCTCCTGGAGCTAGGTGTCCTGCTACCCCTGCTCCCCCTGCCTCCCCTGCTTCTCCTCGTTCCCTTGCCTCCTCCGCCTCTCTCCCGTTCGCTGCTGCTGGCACTCCTCCTGCCCCCCCCTCTCCTCCTCCCTCCTCCCCGTCCCCCCCCATCCCTGTCGCTATAGCTATCACTATCTGTCTGCCGCTGAAGGTCCTGCACTCGCTCCTCCTTTCTCCTCCCTTTCCCACTCCCCTCTCTCCTTCCCCCGCCATCTCCATCCAACCCCTTCCCTTGCTGGCCGCCAGCCCTTCTCTCCTCCGCCCCTCCTCCTCCTGCTCCTCCTCTTCCTCCTCTGGCTCCTCTTCCTCCTCCTGCTCCCCCTGCTCCACCCCCTCGTTCTGACCCCTCTTCACCCTCACCGTGTGCCACACTCAGTCTGCTCGGCCCTCCAGACCCGTAAACGCCCTCTCCTCTCTTGTACTGTGTCCTACCCCCAACCCCAACCCCACCAGCAGCAGCAGCAGCAGCAGCAGGGGAGTTCGCACCACTGCTGGCACCACTTCCGCTGCCAGTGCTGCTATAGCCGGTGCCATGCCCCATGGGGTGATTCAGCCGCCCCGGGGCGTTCCCAGCAGCAGAGCCCAGCGACAAGCCCCTGAACCCCCCGACCACATGCCCCTCAGCAGCAGAGAAGTGACCAGCACCGCCACCAGCACCCGCAAAAGAGCCACCAAAACCACCAGCACCAGCCCCACCGCCAGCACCAGCAGCACCAGCAGCAAAAGAAGCACCAGCACGACCAGCAGCAGCATGGGAGGCAGCAGAGGAGGGCACATGCCCGCTGTGGTCGAACCACTCATTCTCCGTCCGCCTCTCGATGAAACTCCCCGACCGCTGCGCGAACCGCCTCCTCCCCCCCACACCCTCCCCATGCTCCCCATGCCCCCCATTTGGCGGACTCCCCCCCCACCTGCCATACCCCCCAGGCGAACCACCTCCCCCTCCCCCGACCCCTCCCCCCCCTAGTGCAAAGTCCTCCATCCCCTCCCCCCCCACCCTCGTGCTGCGCTCCACAAAGCTGCCAAAGCGGCGGCTGTAGCCCAGGGGCGAGTGGGAGGGGCTGCCAAGGGACCGAGTGGGGCTGTTGAAGGAACGGGTGGGGCTGGAGAAGAAAGGGTGGACGGCAGGGGGTGTGGAGGCGGAGAGAGGGAAGGCTACGCCTCGGGGGCTGCGAGGTGGCATGCCTCCTGCTGCTACTCCTCCTCCCCCTCCTCCTGCTGCTGCTGCTGCTGCTGCTGCTGTTGATGCTGCTGCTCCCACGCCTCCAATCCTCCCTGTTCCGGCGCTTGCTACTCGCCTTGGGCTGACAGGAGGAACGCCTCTGGGGCTCAGAGGCACAGTGGAAGAGTGCCTGTACTGCTGTGGGGCCCCTGGGTGAGTTCCCCCTGGGTGTGCCGCCCCTGGGTGTGACCCCCCTTGCTGAACAAGAAAGCCTTGCCTGGCATTGCCTGCTGCTGTGAAGCCACTCATACGAGGGCTGCGGGGACCCGTCCTGGGCGATTGCACGCCCTGCATGCCATGCGTCCCATGCGTTCCATGCGGCCCATGCGGCCCTTGCATGCCATGTGCGCCTGAGAAGCCGGCAGAAGATGCGTCCGCGCTCCCATGAAACCCACCGAACTCAGAGCCAATACCGGCCACTGCCCCAGCCTTTCCCCCTCCACCTGCCGCTCCCATTCCGCCTGCTCTTGCCGCACCTGCCCCCCTGCCCACGCCTTTCACCACAAGTCCACCTGCTGGCCTCACTGGTCCGTCACTCGGCTGCACATACCCGCCCCCGTGCCAGCCCCCTTGCATACCCCCCAGCACTCCCCCCTGCATGCCGCCCTGCGCCCCTGCTCCCACCACTTCCGACCGTGTGCGCCGGTGGCGCTGCGCTGCTGCCACTGCCCCTCCTCCTGCCGCCCCTGCTATCACTGCCCCTGCTGCCGCCCCTGCCACCCCCCCTCCTGCCCCTCTCCCTGCGCCTGCAATCATTCCTCTGCCCCTCCCCGCTTCTCGCCCTCCTCCTCGCCCCCCCCTGCCCGTACCTCGCCCGTACCCGTCACCAGTGCTTCCTCCCACGGACAGAGACCTGGGCTGGACCGCACGCAGCGGAGTGGCGATGGCCGCATCCCCATGATCGTCATCATCATCGTCGTCAGACTCATCATCGAAATCGTCTGATAAGTTACTTTCATGGCCCAACTGCAATTGGTCGAAGCCCTCTTGCTGATGATGCTGCTGGTGCTGGTGGTAACCCTGCTGTATCGGCAATGCGCTATTGGGCCGGCGGACCTGTCCCTGCAATGGACTTTGAACCTTTCGCTGCTGCTGCTGCTGCTTCTGTGCCATCTCAGAAGCACCGGGAGCCCCGCCAGCCCCTCTCATCCCAGCAGCAGCAGCCGGAGCAGCAGAGGAAGCAGCAGAAACGCCAAAGCCACCCCTGGCCGCAGCAGCAGCAGGCACCAGGTTCTCAGGGGGGGTCGACACCGTTCTGCGGTGCACCGGCCTCCTAGGCGACTGCTGCTGCAGCTGCTGCTGCTGCTGCAGGTGTTGAACCTGCAGGTGCTGCTGCTGCTGCAGCTGCTGCTGGGGGGACACAGCAGCGCCAATGCCGCCCACCATGACCTCCCCCTCCACATCGAGCCCCTCCATCTCATGCTCCTCTATGCCCATTCCCGCCCCCATTCCCCCGCCTCCTACCCCCGCCCCTCCCCCTCCCCCTCCCCGCATCCCGCCACTAGGGCTTCCCCCTCCCCCTGCGCCGCCCCCAGGGGGCAATTGGCCGGGAAGGGGCGTGGTGTTGCTTCGAGGAAACGACCCTGGCGTGGGCTTATTGGGGTTGTCGCCACGTGGCCCATCAAACGAAATGCTTCGGTTCGACTGCCATGGTGCTCCCGCACCGGTTTGGCTCGGCACCCCACCTGGCATCTGGTTCGGGGACCCCGAACCAGAGGCGCCGATGCCCAATCCGGCATACCTCACTGGATCCATTCCTGCTGAGCCTAAAGCCCCTCCTGCCGAACCTCCAGGTTGGGCCCGGGCCTGAGGTCCTCTCCCCGCCACCATGGATTGTGCCTTCCCCATCCTCCCCCCAACTCCCCCTCCGCGCGCCATTCCCGTGTACGGGGGAGCCCCGCGGGGAGACACCGCGATATGACTTCCCCCTGCCCCCCTACCGCGACCAGGTCTGGTGCTGCCCGCGGGCGTGCCGGCAGCGGTGGCGGAACCCGCGCCAACTCCCCGCCCAAATTCCTCCGCCATGGAAGCGTTTCCGCCCATATCCATCCCCATATCCCACCCGGGGCCATCCGACCCCCCTTGACATGCGCCGACGGCGCTAACGGACATTGCGCGCCGATGCTGATGTGGCCTTTGCTGCCGTGCCATCGGCTGCTGCTGCTGCTGCTGCTGAATCACCCCTGTCACCTGCCCCCCATCCCATCTTCCAAAATCATCCCCAGTGCCAGCGGTTCTTCCGCCAGCCCTCCCGCCGACAAGGCCGCCTCCCCCGCTTCTTCCCCCGCCCCCGCCCCCGCCCCTGTGACTTACAGGACTGCCGCGGGCGCCGGAGAGCATGCGATCAGGGGGGGAACGACGAGGTTCGGGTTCGACTCCTGCTGTCGGAAAGTTCACTAAAGCACCCGCGGCAACACCAGGAGTGCTAGCCGCTAGCCGGTGCTGCGACGCGGAATAGGCTGAACCGCCTGCGCTAGCATTCGCGGAACGATTAGGGATACCGTTTTCGTCGGGGCTGGCGAAAGTGCCGTGATCTGCGGATAATCGCCTGGTGACGGGAATGGCCCCTGCGACGTCGCTCGCGATGCCGTCGGCGACATCGTCAGGCGATTGTCGGTTGTAAGAGGACATTGCTAGAGAATGGACGAGCAGGATAAGAGCATCTCACGAGTAGGCTCCGCCAGAATGGACAATTTTCGTAACGCGAGAAGAGACGTTAGCGCGATGCCGCACACAGGGATCGGTCGCAGATGCTACCCAGGCAATTATAAATTAGAGCGATCTGGATGAGGTAGGTCCTGTAAAGTGAGACGAGGATATGGTACGGACAGGGGAGGGTTTTGGCTGGTTTGGTGGCTGCACTGTAGTTTGCCGAGGGCTCACGCTTGGCTTGTGTGGGGTTGTCGTGGATGGAATCGCAGATTGTCGTCAAGGGGGTCGCACAGGATAATCTCGAGATCCCTTGGTTGATGCGAGAATTGTGCGACACTAGGGTTGTTGGGGGCAGGGCCTATGTTTGACGGGTAATTTTCCGGACTTTGATACTTTAACGGGTCTATTTGAACTTGAACTCCCTGTTGACGGATTCTGTTATCTCTGAACCCGGGGGTTAACGGGTCGATTCTGGCTCGAAAACGGGCTGTAAACGTAGGCTTTGAGGGATTTTGGCCTGAAAACGGACTTTGACGAGTACGACTTTGGCCGGAATCGGACTTTAACGCGAGGGTCTCAAGAAGCGCGAAACCAAATCCAAAGCGAGGGTGGCTTTGGTAGGGAATCCGGATTTGACGAGTGGCTAAAAAACCAATCTGAAGCCCTGGTTGGGAGCGGTTGCCTTCTGTTCCGTGATGGCCACATGTGACAGTGCTCACTCGCTGTATGTTATCTACTTTCAATACCCCTTGTATGGTGACGTTATTTAAACAAGCTTTTTATGCAAACACGAGGCATCTCTTTGCGGACAATCGCAGTCCGTGAGCCTCCGCCACAAGCCTGACATTACAGTACCGTGGTTGAAGCCCCAACGCTTTGCCACGTATCTTCTGACTGGCTGGCGTGGAGGCAGGGAGTTTTTTTCTCGGCCAGTGGCGTTTGGCCCTTATCTGACTCGTGGCGCCTCCACCTTCGCCTGAAGGAATTCCGTGGATCCCAGCCCTTGGAGAGCGAACCTCACGAAGTGCACAAATTTTCCGTTTTGAACCAGGAATGAGGCGGAAGGTTCTTGAAATTCGTAAAATAATTCGATGTAATTATTTTCTTGTGTTTGAGCTGTTCGAATTACCGGATTGCCCGACCGAAAGTTCGGTTCCGTAAATCTTGTGACTTGTCACGACTTGACCGTCAGAAGCGCCTCGGTAGGCTTGGGAAATGCGCTTCGATTCTGAATCTCTGTCCCGCTGACAGAGACAAGGCACGACAAGGCACAAACACCTCTGTCATTTTTCTGAACATGGTTTTTTTCCGAACCCATGTTCGCGCAACTGTTTCGCAGAAATTCGCGAGGGGCGAACATGCTAACCAATATTGAAATGAGCATGGGGAGGAATAGCCTTTGGGCGTGTCACAATTATGGGGTGGTAATTTCCAGGTTATCGCGACAATTTGACGAGCTTCGTTAAATGTGTTACTTTCGCAAATTCTTGGTGTTCGCTTCATGTTCACAAAAATGTGACGCGCCCTAAAAATCGGACTGGTCCCTCCCTCCCCTTCTCCCACCCCTACCCATTTTCCATGCTAGCTTCACCCAGCTTTCCGCAGACTGCCACCAATAAATCCATCAGTGCTTAGTTTCGCGAGCTGAACTCGTTGAGGTTGGTTTGCACACGCATCTGGAGAGAGTCGGTGATTCTCATTCCGAATTCCAGTACTCGCCTGGCTTATATTCAAATTCTGCCGTCGTGCCTCGATCGTGGTGCACTGAGCTCTCAATCAGTTGACTAGGACTGGACGCAGTCGCCGACGGTTCCCTCACAGCAAGTACCATAACTCGCCGTTTTTGTTTCCGTAATCGATTACAACTTGCCGTTTTCTGCTTCCGTAGTCGTCGCTTATCGCCCGCCATGTCGCGACGCTATACCTATTGCCTAGCCTCCCTCATCTTCCTCTGCACATTCCTCTGCCTGATCTCCGCCAAATCTCAACCACAAGCCGGCATCGCAGCGTCTCATTCGCAACGCGCAGCCGACACGCAACGGCGGCATGGCGGCTTCCGAACACCGCGTTTCTCGCCGAGTCACCGCACCCTCCTAGTAGACACGCCTTCCGCCGAACCAGCCGCTAGAAACGAAGGTTCAGGCCTTCCAGGCGAAGGTTTGGCCGATCAAGGCGAAGAATCTTACATAGTGCGCGCCGAGCCGGTCCCGAAACGCATTCTTAGAGTCGCATCCCCGGAGCCCGCGCAACGTGGGAGACGACAGCTGAACGCAGCGGAGGGCGCAGCGGCGGAACGGGGGGGAAGCGGAAAGAGTGGGGAGAGCGGAGAGAGCAGGGAGACGTGGACGGAAGCGGAGGAGCAGGAGCTCGTCATTCCCAAGGGTGTGGCGTTCTATCACCGGGGGAAAAATCGCGGGGGGGACGGGGGAAGCGGAGGGGGAAGCGGAGGAGCGGGGACCAGATTAGCTGCGCCCGTCGATATCACACCGAGCAAGCGCCGGAATGGGAGTGGGGGCCAGGCGTCGGGGGGGAGCAGCAACGACGGCGCGGGGAAGTTCCCCGTGATCTCCCCGGGGGGCAGCGGCGGGGCCGGGGGCGGTGGGGGAAGCTCGGGGGGAACGAAGAAGAAGCGGGGCGGACCGAATGGCGGATGGACGCTTGCGAAAGAGCGGAGGGTTTCGTTTTCGTCCGCGCAGGAGATGAAAATCGGCAACGGGCAGTTCGGAAAGGGCGGGAAAGTGACGTACCATGGCGGCCCGGTGATGGCCAGGTCGCCGATTAAAGTGTACCTCATCTTCTACGGCGACTGGGACAAAACGACCGTGGACCTGTTTCACAAGTTCGTGAGCTCTATATCGGGGAAATACAAGACGCCCAAGGACCGTTACAATGTTACCAGGTGGTGGGGGCTCACGGCGGCCGGCACGCAGGCGGACGGAAAGCGCGTGAGCGCGACCGTGGCGCTGGGGAAGTCGGTGCTGGACCGGAACTACGTGTCGGGCGGCGGGAAGGTTCTGCGCAACTACCAGAAGGACGTCGTAGCCAGTAAGTCCTCTTTAGATGCTCGGTTCTCGGGTCGGTTCTGGCGCAGTCATCAACTACCACCTGCGCTGCGAGGTGCTGGTGTCTGTCGATGCGCGTCTCCCCCCACTCATTATTCCGCGTACCTCTTTCCTCACGCCTCTCGCCTCTCGCCTCCCTCCCCCTCTTTTCCGCCCCCTCCCTTCCGCCCCCTCCCTTCCGCCCCCTTCCTTCCGCCCCCTTCCTCCCGCCCCCTCCCTCCCATTCGCTCCCCCGCAGTCATCAACTACCACCTGCGCGCCAAGCTGTTGCCGTTCGACACGGACGGCATCTACATGGTGATGACGGATCCGACGGTGGAGGTGAAGAGCAGCGACCCCAGGGACGGCTTCTGCACGCGCTTCTGCGGGTACCACAGCTACGGCCAGGACGCGCTGGGGAAGGCCTTGAAGTTTGGATTCGCGGGGCACTCGGCTCGATGCCCCTCGCAGTGCACCCGGCCCCTTCCCTAGTGAGTGATTCGTAGTAGTGTACAAGTTATGTGGTTCTGCGGGTACCACAGCTACTGCCAGGACGTGCTGGGCAAGGCCCTCAAGTTCGCGAGGCACTCCGCTCGATGCCCTTCACAGTGCACCCGACCACTTCCCTAGTGAGTGATTCGTTAGCAAGGGTACCAGACAGTCACTCACTCCCCCATTCACTCAGTTCTAAGGGCAACCCTTGGATTAATAGGCGCACCAGATGGCTGGCATTGCTGTTACCGACCCCTCTGAAAGCATCAATTCCCACAGTCAGGGCGCCTTCCCATGCATGCTGTGGCGTGTGCTCCCTCCCATGCATGCTGTGGCGTGTGCTCCCTCCCATGGATGCTGTGGCGTGTGCTCCCTCACATGCATGCTGTGGGCTGTGCTCCCTCCCATGCATGCGGTGGGGTGTTGTTATTCCTAATGCACTAGAGATGGAAGAGGAGGCAGACACGTTACCTTCAAAGTGCTCCCCTCAGCTTTGTCTTTTCCTCTCTTCTTCCAACCCACGCCCCAACCCCTCACAGTGATACGTTCAATGGGGTCAATGTCGACGCCACCTTGTCCACATTCGCGCATGAAATAGCGGAGGTGGCCCAGGACCCACTGTTCACGGCATGGTATGACTACGATCAAGTGGAGGGAGCTGATAAATGCACGTATGTTTACGGGGATGGGTGGGTGAATCCCCGGAATTCAGCGGCTTATAACTTGATGGGAAGGAGGGGGTCGAGGTTTTTGATCCAGTCTATGTGGAGCCTTGATAAGCAGATGTGTGTACAATAGGATGGCATACTTCATTTACACAGCAGGGTATTGGTGCTTCATCTATACAGGACTTCGCATTTATTATGCGTTGTTTTGACTTGCTCCTATTGATAATAATACGCGAAAGGCTACACCAAGCAATATATATGTGGATCATTTGTTCTAGGTCAGAGGGCTACTTCATGGCATAGGATCCACAAGTAATGATAAGGCTAAAGCTCATGTGATCCGTCTTTAGGTCTCACCGAGTCTGCTAACAGACGGAGCCTTTCCTTCCCTCGTCAGCACCATCTGACACTGATGTCAGAACCAGTCAGCTCCACGTCAGGCAACAGCTGCTACTCCTTGCCCATCAAGGCCTCGGGAACATCGTAAAATTCGACGGTTACCAGAACAAATAGAATTCTAGGCGCCTCGACCGAAGGCCAGCAACAGCAAACCGAAGCCTCGTTCCTAACGGAAGTCGGAGATTTCGCGGAATTGCGCGTTGAGTGTCCATTCTCATAGGCAGTGAATCAGTGAGAGGTTCAGCAGGCATTCGAACTGCAGGCTCTGCTGCCAAGAGAGCAGTTTAGTTCCGCGCTTCACTACCGCAGTCATTGCTGACTGCGATTGGTCGTTTACCAGCTGACTGCGCCCTTTAGCGATTGCCTTGGAGTGATTTAGGTCGCTCTAGGTCGAACCGCCTTTTTCCGCTTCGACAAAGTCAGGATTCGCTTCCTTGTACCGCCAGTCAGAAGCCGCCATGTCAGCACCGTCGCTCGCCTCGTTCGTCCCCGTGCCTCCGGGCAGCCACTTCCCGATCCAGAACCTCCCGTTCGGCGTGTTTCGATCCTCGCCGGGAGGCTCGGCGCGAGTGGGCGTGGCAATCGGCGAGCAGGTTCTAGACCTGTCAGTCGTGGCGGACGCGGGTCTGCTGGGGGATGTGGGCGACGTAGTTAAAGACACGGGATGCTTCCACCAGGTACTAGGGTGGGAGAGTTTTGAACCCGGGCGCCTAAAGACACGGGCTGCTTCCACCCCGTCAGTCGACTGAGAGGGTCTTAGCGTGGGCGTGAGTTGAAGCATGAGGCGCGCCTAAGATCACGGCCTGCTGCACGGCTGGTTGGCCTCCCTTGAAAGCTTCCTCCTCCTCATTTCCCCCCCCCCTTCCAAAAGCCCCCCTTCCTACCAACCCCCCACCTCCCCTTCTTCCTCCCCCTTCCCACCCCCTCTCCTCTCCCTATGTCCCACCGCAAGCCTCCCGCAATGCTTTCATGTCGCTGGGTCGCCCCGCGTGGCAACGCACCAGAGCTGCTCTCCACCCTCCATGCACCTCCCTTCCTCCCTACCCACCCCCTCTCCCTCCCCCTCCCCCTCTCCCTCTCCCTCTCCCTCCCCCTCTCCCTCTCCCTCTCCCTCTCCCTCCCCCTCTCCCTCTCCCTCTCCCTCCCCCTCTCCCTCTCCCTCCACCTCCCCCTCTCCCTCCCCCTCCCCCTCCCCCTCTCCCTCCCCCTCCCCCTCTCCCTCCCCCTCCCCCTCTCCCTCCCCCTCCCCTCTCCCTCCCCCTCCCCCTCCCCCTCTCCCCCGCCTCTCCCCGTGCCCCACCTCAGTCGTCCCTCAACACCTTCATGGCGCTGGGTCGCCCCGTGTGGCAACGCACCAGAGCTGCTCTCCAACGCCTGCTCTCTGGTGAAACCTCCTGACCAACCACCTGATGAAATACCTTACCGATTTACCTGGTGCTCGCAATCGTCCCCAGGTGCTCTCTGATGCAACCACCTGACAAAAAACCTGATAAACTAGTGCCATGCTGCCATGTCTTCGAGTGGGAGTCACACCACTGTGCGTGCTTCAGGCGCTTCGCTCTGACAACTCTCCCCCCTCTAGTTTTGCGGCGCCTCAAAACTAGACTTCGCACTGACAACTCTCCCCTCTCTTCCCTCTCTCCTTCCACCACCCTTCTCCCTTTGCCCGTTCATCTCATCGAATGCTGACGTCAGCGGACGAGCCAACACTGAGAGACAACAAGGCACTGCGCACCAATGCCCTGCACCATCAGGTGAGATGTCAGGTGCCCTGCACCATCAGGTGAGATGTCAGGTGCCCTGCACCATCAGGTGAGATGTCAGGTGCCCTGCACCATCAGGTGAGTTGTCAGGTGCCGTTCACCATCAGACCTACACAGCCTTACCAAGCATCCAAGCACCAAGCCCAAACTGTGGGCCAAATGCTTTCGATCCCCACTATGCCTCCCTGCCTCCCTGCCTGCCTGCCTGCCTGCCTGCCTGGCTGCGTGCCTGGCTGCCTGCCTGGCTGGCTGGCTGCCTGGCTGGATGGATGGATGGATGGATGGATGCCCTAGCAATGATTGGCAATCACACGAATTGCTGTGTGTGCAAGCTAAACCTGCGCCACCCATGAGGGCCGTGTTGACATTGACGCCTGGACTCGCCTACGCCTCCCCTGCCTGCCCCCTTCCCTCTCCCCCAGGCCCATGTGCGCATGGAGTTGGCCTGCAGTGAGCGGCATCAGCGCACCATGCCACCAACGTGGGCCGGCTGTTTTGCGACTGGCGCCTAAGCTCCCTCCATGCCTCTACCGCGCGCCCCCCTTCCCTCCCCGCCAGTCCCATGTGTTAATGGAGCTGCCAGCAGTGATCGGCGACTACACTGACTTCTATGCGTCGAAGCACCATGCCACCAACGTGGGGCGGCTGTTCCGAGGCAAGGGCAACGAGCTGCCGGCGCAGTGGTGAGGGGAAGGTGCAGGGAGGCGAGGAGGGGATGAGAGGAGCGGGTGAGAGGAGGGGGTGAGAGGAGCGGGTGAGAGGAGGGGGTGAGAGGAGGGGGTGTGGGAAGGGGCGAGAGGGGGGGGGTGTGGAAACTTGTCCTAGTTGTCTTTTCTTATTGTGGACTGGTGTTGGATGCCAACTCAACCACCCACTCGCACCCTCTCTCTGCCCACATGCCTGCGGGTGTCTGCCACCCTCTTTTGTGCATGGTATGACATGGAATGGCGTTGGATTTTCTGGCATGGCATGGCATGGCATGGCATGGCGTGGCATGGCATGGCGTGACGTGGTATGGCATGGCGTGACGTGGCACGGCATGGCGTGGCATGGCAGGTTGTACATGCCCATAGCATACCACGGCAGGTCGTCGTCTGTTGTGGTCTCCGGCACTCCCATCGAGCGGCCCAGGTGAAAACCACGGCGGCTCAGGAGAAACGAACGGTAGTCAGGTGAATGAAACAGCAGCAGGCAGGTCAGGTGGTATGTACAACAGCTATCATGCGCCTCATAGGCTGAGCACAGGCTGCTGGTCCAATCAGAACGCCTCTTTCCACCAGCCCCTTTCCACCAGCCCCTTTCCACCAGTCCCTTTCCACCAGTCCCTTTCCACCAGCCCCTTTCCACCAGTCCCTTTCCACCAGTCCCTTTCCACCAGCCCCTTTCCACCAGCCCCTTTCCACCAGTCCCTTTCCACCAGCCCCTTTCCACCAGTCCCTTTCCACCAGCCCCTTTCCACCAGTCCCTTTCCACCAGCCCCTTTCCACCAGCCCCTTTCCACCAGCCCCTTTCCACCAGCCCCTTTCCACCAGTCCCTTTCCACCAGTCCCTTTCCACCAGTCCCTTTCCACCAGTCCCTTTCCACCAGCCCCTTTCCACCAGTCCCTTTCCACCAGCCCCTTTCCACCAGCCCCTTTCCACCAGCCCCTTTCCACCAGCCCCTTTCCACCAGTCCCTTTCCACCAGCCCCTTTCCACCAGCCCCTTTCCACCAGCCCCTTTCCACCAGCCCCTTTCCACCAGCCCCTTTCCACCAGCCCCTTTCCACCAGCCCCTTTCCACCAGCCCCTTTCCACCAGTCCCTTTCCACCAGCCCCTTTCCACCAGTCCCTTTCCACCAGCCCCTTTCCACCAGTCCCTTTCCACCAGCCCCTTTCCACCAGCCCCTTTCCACCAGCCCCTTTCCACCAGCCCCTTTCCACCAGCCCCTTTCCACCAGCCCCTTTCCACCAGCCCCTTTCCACCAGTCCCTTTCCACCAGCCCCTTTCCACCAGCCCCTTTCCACCAGTCCCTTTCCACCAGTCCCTTTCCACCAGCCCCTTTCCACCAGCCCCTTTCCACCAGCCCCTTTCCACCAGTCCCTTTCCACCAGTCCCTTTCCACCAGTCCCTTTCCACCAGCCCTTTCCACCAGCCCTTTCCACCAGCCCCCTTTCCACCAGCCCCTTTCCACCAGTCCCTTTCCACCAGCCCCTTTCCACCAGTCCCTTTCCACCAGCCCCTTTCCACCAGTCCCTTTCCACCAGCCCCTTTCCACCAGCCCCTTTCCACCAGCCCCTTTCCACCAGTCCCTTTCCACCAGTCCCTTTCCACCAGTCCCTTTCCACCAGCCCCTTTCCACCAGCCCCTTTCCACCAGTCCCTTTCCACCAGCCCCTTTCCACCAGTCCCTTTCCACCAGCCCCTTTCCACCAGCCCCTTTCCACCAGTCCCTTTCCACCAGCCCCTTTCCACCAGTCCCTTTCCACCAGCCCCTTTCCACCAGTCCCTTTCCACCAGTCCCTTTCCACCAGCCCCTTTCCACCAGTCCCTTTCCACCAGCCCCTTTCCACCAGCCCCTTTCCACCAGCCCCTTTCCACCAGCCCCTTTCCACCAGTCCCTTTCCACCAGCCCCTTTCCACCGGCCCCTTTCCACCAGCCCCTTTCCACCAGCCCCTTTCCACCAGCCCCTTTCCACCAGCCCCTTTCCACCAGCCCCTTTCCACCAGCCCCTTTCCACCAGCCCCTTTCCACCAGCCCCTTTCCACCAGCCCCTTTCCACCAGCCCCTTTCCACCAGCCCCTTTCCACCAGCCCCTTTCCACCAGCCCCTTTCCACCAGCCCCTTTCCACCAGCCCCTTTCCACCAGTCCCTTTCCACCAGTCCCTTTCCACCAGCCCCTTTCCACCAGCCCCTTTCCACCAGTCCCTTTCCACCAGCCCCTTTCCACCAGTCCCTTTCCACCAGCCCCTTTCCACCAGCCCCTTTCCACCAGCCCCTTTCCACCAGCCCCTTTCCACCAGTCCCTTTCCACCAGTCCCTTTCCACCAGCCCCTTTCCACCAGTCCCTTTCCACCAGTCCCTTTCCACCAGCCCCTTTCCAC